AGTGCACTGTGCAAACATACTCGCAACTTCACCAAACACAGGGCAACAATCTCAGCGCCACTTGTGTTTACAAATGAAATCAGAACAGAGTAGTCCAGCATGAGACGAAGGCCTATATAAGCATGACAAAGCTAATGAAAGAGGGAGAGCAGGGCATAGAGCACACATCGGCGCCGACCCCCTGTCAGTTTGCCTCATGGTGCCAACACATGGCAGTTTAATTATGAACTGGAGCGCAGAAGAAGCAGAGTTTGCAGATGAAACCACTGTAAATTCAACAGAGGATGTACGAGCCTTGCGCGGTCACATAGTACTAGCAAACAGTGCGAGGTAACGCGGTCTCAGCCGAACGGGTATACTGACCTTGCCCTCGATACTGAAGAGTTCGCGGAGGACGGGCACGTCGTGGAGCTGGACGCCGAGGGACGCCCACGAGTCCGCCTTGAGCGCCACGAGCGCCGCCTGGGCCACCTTCCACCCCGTGACGCCCTGGCCCGCGTGCGTGAGCTCGTCCCGCGCCTTGGTCGCCGCCGCCTGCGCCCTCTCGAGGGCCGCGGGGTTGCGCGGCGGCGGCGGCTGCTGCTGCTGCTGAGGCGGGGCCGACGACGGCGAGGGGTTGGGCGGGCGGTGCTGGACGTTGGGGGTGGTAGGGCTCTGGGCGTAGCCGGGGGAGGGGAGCGGCGGCGGCTGCTGGTACTGCTGCTGCTGATGCTGATGCTGATGCTGCTGGAACTGCTGCTGCTGGTGGAAGGCGGCGGCGAGGGCGGCCTGGTTCTGGAGGAGGAGGTGGGGGAGCATGAGATGGAAGGGGTCCTGCCCGAACTGGGGGTTAGGGGCGAACGGGTAGGGGTTCACGGCCGCGGCCGCGGGGTCGGAGGCCGAGGCGGCGCCGTGCCACGCGGCGGCGAAGGCGGCGGCGCGCGGGTCGTAGCCGTGCGGCGGCATCTGGGGGTTGCCGCGGCCCCTCATCGGGGCGGTGGCGGGAATCGGGCGGCGCGGCTAGGGTGGGTTGGGAGGCGGCGCCGATGGCGTGAGGTGGAAGAAGGGAAAAGGGGAGGAGGTGTGACCTCCGTGGACACGCGCGCTAGGGCGGCTTGGGCTCCGGGATTTTATCTTGGTTGGCTGCGTTACTGCGTTGCGGGCCTCGGGCTGGGCCGGTCACAAAAATCGGCCGCTTGTCTTCTTCATGGGGTTCCGACTACGCATTTTTTTTATTCTTAAATATAAAAAAACACTTTTTTACTTTCCTTTTTCTCTGAAAACATATCTTCTAGGAGTAATAGCTAGCCCCATTAACTATTTTTAAAGCACATGAAACTATGATAGCGTTGTGATACACTCTCAACCCTAGTTGTTGTGGCCATAACGTACTTACACGTCGCCGCCTGCGTTCCCTCCTCTTCCCCA